TCTCTTTCTCTCCTCACTAAAAGTGCCTCACGCACTAACAAATTGGTATCCAGAGCTTCCGGTTATTGTTCTTGATCAAGTTTTCAAGAATTTCACGTCAGAGATTGTTTTTCTAGGGCAAGTAAATCAACCGCTGCGAAGATGGCTAGTGATAAGGGCATTCTAAATTCTCTTTCAATACTTGACGATAAAAATTGGATCCGATGGAAAAAACAGATGCAATCCTTATTTGGCTTCCATGAAACTCTAGAAGTGGTTACCGACGGTGTTCCGGCATTGGCTACAAATGCAACCGACGAACAGAAAAAAGCCCACAACGAAGTCAAGAAAAAAGATTGCAAGGCTGCTTGTTGCATTCAAACGGCTGTCGATGCTGCTAACTTCGACAGAATCTCTCGTGTTGAAACAGCGAATGAGGCATGGGATATTCTGGTAAAGTATTTCGAAGGAGGTGAGAAAGTCAAGGTTGTCAAGTTACAAACCTTCCGTCGACAATATGAGTTGTTGTCGATGGGAGAAGATGAAAAAGTTGCAGAATATGTGTCGAAGGTTCAGAAACTCGTCCATCTCATGAAGGGTTGTGGTGAAACCATTACTGATAAGATGATAGTTGAGAAGATAATGAGAATGTTGACCTCTCACTTTGATCACGTTATCGTAGCTATTCAAGAATCCAACAATCTTGAAACCACTAAAGTGGAAGATTTGGTTGGTTCGTTGGAGGCGCATGAGATGAGGTTTGTCGAAAGGAAAGAAGTTCAGGACTCGATGCAGGAACTGCAAGCTCAATCATGGAAAAAAGATGGTGGTTCCAACAAATTCAAAGGAAAGTTCGACAAGACTCGTGGCAAGAAGTCTTGGTCGAATTCCCATAAGAATAAGTCGAAGATAGATCTTCTGAATCCTTGAAAAAGGGAGGAGGAAACTATCGAAAGGACAAAGAAGATAAGAAAGGTATGCAGTGTTATAACTGTGAAAAGTGGGGACACTTGGTCAAGAATTGTTGGTACATAAAAGACAAGGGATCGAAAGGCAAGGACAAAGGAGCGAACCTTGCAGGCCAAGATTCAGATGATTCTGAAGGTGGTATGATGGTTATGGATGCAGTTGCAGATAACCATGTTGAATCTAATATCTGGTTTCTCGACTCAGGTTGCTCGAACCACATGACTGGTCGAAAGGAGTGGTTGGAAGTTTTTGACGAGTCGAAGAAGAGCAAGGTAAAACTTGCTGATAATAGCTCGTTGCAAGCAGAAGGTACTGGCAACATAGTCTTTCAAATGAGCAATGGAGGGAAAGCTATGATCAAAGATGTGCTCTATGTACCTGGAATGAAATGCAACTTGTTAAGTGTTGGACAACTAGTTGAAAAAGGTTTCTCAGTTGTCATGAAAGATGGAGTTTTGAAATTTTTCGACACTAAGAACAATTTGGTTTTAAAATCTCCATTGTCGAAGAACGGGACATTTAAGACTATGATCAGTTCGACAAAAGTTCAATGTTTGAAAACTGTTGTCGACCACAAGGATAGTTGGTTGTGGCATTTGAGGTTTGGACATTTGAATTTCCGATCACTTAATCAACTGATTACTCAAGATATGGTTACTGGTATTCCAAGTCTTGAGATGCCTGAAAAACTTTGTGAAGGTTGTTTAGTGGGAAAGCAATCCAGAAATTCTTTCGTTTCGACTATGTGAATGAGACCATCCTGCATTCTCGAAGTGGTGCATTCAGATGTATGTGATCCATTTGAAGAACATACAATTGGTGGAAACAGATATTTTGTTTCCTTTGTCGATGAGTTTAGTCGAAATTTGTGGATCTATGTGATCAAACGAAAGGACGAAGTATTCGAAATCTTTAAGAGATTCAAGATACTTGTCGAAAACCAGAGTGAGAAGAAGATCAAAGTTTTACGAACAGATGGAGATGGCGAATACACATCCAAGATGTTTGAAGATTTATGTGCAGAATATGGTGTTGATCATGAGGTAACTGCTCCTTACACACCTCAACATAATGGAATTGCTGAAAGAAGAAATAAAACCATATTAGATATGGCAAGATGCATGCTGAAGCAAAAGAATTTTCCAAAATCTTTATGGAGAGAAGCTGTTTCGACTGCAGTTTATATTTTTAATAGGTGTCCTACTAAGATATTGAAGAACAAGGTTCCTGAAGAAGTGTAGAGTGGCAAACGACTATCAGTAAGTCACTTGAAGGTGTTTGGCTCTATGTGTTACAAGCATGTTCCTGATGCAAGGAGAAGGAAGCTTGATGACAAGAGTGAACCTATGATTCTGGTAGGATATCATAAAACTGGTACATATAGATTATTCAATCCAGTTAATTAAAAGATTGTGTTGAGTCGAGATATTGTGATTAATGAAAATTCTGCCTGGGATTGGAATTCTAGCAATTCAATTAACAAATCATTAATGAACTTTGATTTCGACGAAGAAACTAATGAAGTAGAGGTCAAAGGAATTGTTGAGAATCCAATCGAAGTCGAAGAAGAAGCGGTTACTGACACTCCCGTCACAGTAGAAATTGAAGAGGTTGTGGCTGAAACAAGCCAAAGACCTCAAAGAAATAGAGTTCTTCCAATAAGACTTCATGATTATGAAGTGATGGGTGATGATGAAATCACACCAGATGGAGAATTAGTTCATTTTGCTTTACTTGCAGGTGCTGAACCAATCAACTATAGCGAAGCTTTGAAAATTAACAAGTGGAAGTTAGATATGGTCGAAGAGTTACAGGCAATTGAAAGAAACAACACATGGGAGTTAGTCGAATTGCCAACACATACGAAAGCTATCGAAGTAAAGTGGGTGTTCAAGTTTAAACCCAATGCAGATGGGTCAATAGCAAGACATAAAGCAAGATTAGTAGCTCGAGGTTTTCTTCAAAGAGCAGGACTTGACTACTCTGAAGTATTTGCTCTAGTAGCAAGATTAGAGACTGTTCGACTAGTAGTAGCATTGACATGCAACCAAGGCTGGTCAACATTTCATCTAGATGTGAAATCAGCATTTTTGAATGGTCCTTTAGACGAAGAAGTTTATGTCACACAACCTCCTAGGTTTGTGATTCAGAAGGAAGCGAGTAAAGTATATAGATTGCACAAAGCGCTCTATGGCCTCAAGCAGGCACCTAGGGCATGGAACAAGAAGACCGACTCATACTTAGTCGAATTAGGATTTGTCAAATGCAAATCAGAGTATGGTGTCTATGTTCAGGTTGTAGCACAAGATATAACAATCATCTGCTTGTATGTTGATGACTTGCTAGTAATTGGAAATAGTTTGGAGAACTTGTCGAAGTTCAAAGAGCTGATGACGAAAGAATTTGAAATGTCGGATCTAGGAAAATTATCTTATTTTCTAGGCATGGAATTTCAAATGTCGAAGCAAGGTATGGTGCTACATCAAATAAAGTATATCAAAGAAATACTCAAGAGATTCAGAATGGATGATTCGAATCATGCATCCTCACCTGTCGAACCAAATGTGAAGTTGGAGAAGAATGGAGAGGGAGACAAAGTCGATGCAACTTTGTTCAAGCAAATTGTGGGATCTCTGAGGTATGTGTGCAATAGTCGACCTGATATAGGCTTCGTAGTCAGATTAGTAAGAAAATATATGGGTGAACCAAGAGTGTCACATATGAAGGCTGCAAGAAAAATCCTTCGATATTTGAAGGGTTCAATAAACTATGGAATACTATTTCGAAGAGATTCTGAAGGCAAAGAAGTAATAGTTAATTGTTTTTCAGACGTTCATTGGTGTGGAGATAAGGAAGATCGAAGAAGTACAACTGGATATTTCTTTCAAGTATTTGGTGCCTCAGTCTCATGGTGTTCGAAGAAGCAACCTGTGGTGGCATTGCCATCGTGTGAAGCTGGATATATAGCGGAATCCTATGCTGCATGTCAAGCAATTTGGATCAGATCTGTACTTGAAGAAATGACTGTCGAAATGAAGAAACCTCTAGTATTGCAAATCGACAACAAGTCAGCCATAAATCTGGCGAAGAATCCAGTTCTGCATGGAAGAAGTAAATATATTGAAGCAATATTTCACTTCTTGAGGGAAAAAGTAAATCAAGGTGAACTTGAAGTTAGACATTGCTCAAGTGAAGTACAGTTGGCCGACATTTTCATCAAAGGATTGAAGATCGACAGATTCTTGAATTTGAGAAAGAAATTAGGAATAGTTCAGATTGACTATTTTTTAGGATGTTCGACAACATGGATTATGGGGGTGCGTTGAAATATTAAATTAGATTAGATTAGATTTGATTAGATTTAATATTTAATATAATCTAAGTTGTGTTAGTCCAAGCCCAATTAGGGTTGTATATAAATAGTCATAGTGTGTATCATTATTTGTACACTTGAATAATACAAATCTTTATTTCCTTTATTATTCTCTCTTTCTCTCCTCACTAAAAGTACCTCACACACTAACACATATCTAGGCTCAAATACTATCTTAAAATTTTTGGGTTAGGCCTAAATCATACCTACAAAATTAATATTGTAAAATGAGAGGTGACGTTCCATATAATTTTTTATTGAATTCTATCTTTAGCCAAAGTGAGACTAGAGTTTTTCACAATACACCCCTCACACTCAGAGGTGTCACTCCATATAAACCTTTATTGAATTCTATCTTTAGTCAAAGTTGGACTAGAGTTTTTCACAATACGCCCCTTACGCTCAGCAATATTAGACTTGATGCATGAATATAAACGGGACCAGGATCAACTACCTTTTGTTTTGTATACTTATGTACATTTCTCTCTATCTCTCTCGTAATCATGTTTCTCTCTCATCTAAATTGATCTTAAAAATACATTAAGGCACCAAAGCTAACAAAACAAGGTAGGGAATCCTTTCCCATATAAACAGTGGGTGTGAATAGTTGATATGTGGGACTTGGCTTTTCTGATACACCCCCTTATGCTTAGCATTATTGAGCTTCATATGCATATAAATGGTAAGTGATCATACTCATCCTTATAAAATTGACTGATATTGTGAGGATTGTCTCCAATTATAAACACATTCATATTATATATTGTCTAACGTGAAACTCTTAATATCAATAAATAAATAAAATTGGCATAAGTCTTTTGTAGTTTTTTTTTTTTTGTTCAAAATGAAAATGAAAATTATATTTCCATAAAATTTATGTTTTTTTTTGGGGGGGGTAAGTAATGAATTGTGTGGAAAAGGGACTGGAATAGGTATTAGTCCAGATCAATATGCTTAGAGCAACTTTAATGTGGGTAAACTAAAGTATTAGTTTGTTATAGCTACCGGTATTTAATATTTATAGTATATTATCCTTGGACTAAATCTATGTGGCAGCAACTATAGAATACCGAGCTTTCCATAACCAACCGTAACTAACACTATTTGCAATAATATTTAGCATTAATAAATTATTTAATGGTCATTTTGAGACCTGACATTAATTAACAAATAAATATAAATAAGTAAGGTCAAGTATAAATTATTTATAAGGAACCACTATTGGAATAAAAATAAATTAGATGAACTAAAAGTTCTTTAGATCCTACATGACAATTTAGTCCTATAAAAAATAATTTAATTGATCAAGTTTAGTTTCTTATAGTTCACTTCATTAAAGATGCTGTTATGATGTAACTATTTTAAGAAACATTGTTCAAGATTTATATAGAGGATTTGTGCAGAACCCACTAGTTATTGCACCTGGAGGCTTCTTTGATGAAAATTGGTTTAAAGAATTCCTAAGCAAATCAAGTGAATGGCCAGATGTGGTCACACGCCATGTTTATAACCTTGGATCAGGCATGTTCCACAAACCATGAAAAAAATTTCAATTGTTTAACCAATTTTCATGAATTCAATTGTTGAAGTTGTAGAATTTTAGATGGAAGGAAGAGAGAAAATAATAACTTGATACAAAAAAAAAAAAAAAAAAACTAGTCCTAGAAGTTAAATCAAGATATTCTAGCATAATATCAAGATATCATGAGACTTAAGATTTTATTTTCTACCATCGATTATAACAGAAATCTACTTACATGGTCACATACCCGACAAAATTCTTTATCCAACCTATCTTGACGGAGCGGCTGGCACATTCAGCAGCCTTAAAAATGTACTTCAAAGTTCACAAACTTCAGCTAAGTCATGGGTTGGTGAGGCTGGTGGTGCTTACAGTAGTGGCCGCTATCTTGTATCTAATGCATTTGTCAACAGCTTCTGGTAAGTGTAACTCCCCGTGATTTATGAGTTTATCGGTCGGAATTCCTTAAAGGCGTTTTATTGATATAATCATATCGAATGCAGGTACTTGAATCAACTAGGCATGTCAGCTACTTATGGCACCACAACATATTGCAGACAGACTTTAATAGGAGGAAACTATGGTTTATTGAATACCGCTACTTTCATGCCAAATCCAGACTATTATTACAGTGCTCTTCTTTGGCACCGACTCATGGGATCACACGTCCTGTCAACTACCTTTTACGGAACAAAGAAGATCAGAACGTATGCACATTGCGCAAAGGAAACTAAGGGAGTCACAGTACTGTTTCTGAATTTGGACAACAGCACCATAGTTGAAGCAAGAATGTCCTTTCATTTTGGTAAGAAACTTTTCCCTCCTTATAAGGGAATAGCACAGAGAAGAGAGTATCATTAAACAGCAAAGAATGGAAATCTACATAGCCAAACAATGTTTCTTAACGGAAACATTCTAAGCGTAAACTCGGCAGGTGATATTCCTCCATTGAATCCTATACATGTTGATCCTTCAAAGCCAGTACCAGTTGCTCCTCTCTCTATTGTATTTGCTCATATACCAGATATTATTACTAAAGTTTGCAGCTAGCTAGCTCAATGGCACTATGTGAAACCAAAAACCGGTTTCCTTTGGTGTTTGATAGGGTTTTGTATATTCACAATGTACTATTCGGTTCATCATGAAAATCGTAAATTTTATAATAATAAATTGAAAGTGATATTCAATCTTGTTGCCATAGGTAGTGAATTTTCAAAGATTACAACTTGTCACTACGTATTTTTCGGTGACCAACCGGCATCATCAATTAAAAATATACACTTCCTATAAACAAACAGTAACTTACCTATGCAGCTATGCTATCGTTTCTTTGTACATAAATAACTAATCTTGACTTGTAGATCAAACAGATATACACTCCCTCGGTCAAAAATCTGTTTATCGTATGGTTTCTTCGAATGATTGAACCAACTATGAGTTTTCCTCAGAAAAACTTTGAGGCTTACTGCTGGCGAACACCAACCATACGACAGTCCCAGTCAAATAGAAGAAGATGGATGGTGCATATAGTGATATCTACATGGTATAAATATGAATTTCAAATTAACTACGAAGAATATGCATCATATTGGGAGAAAAGAACTGTCACTAGAAACAACTTACACTCCACGAATGAGTTGTATCAAGAAGATAACCGGTGAGGGCTACACCTACGATTCCAGGTACAGCCCCCACGGTATTAGTAATACCCTGAGAGCCAAAAGGTCGGATTTATCAGATACATTTAAAAACAAGCATATGAAGCAACACGTGTTTCTTTGTATGATATAAGCTCAAGCATACATACCAGAAGTATACTTGCATATTCTGGTGAGATGTCTTGATGGGTACAATATAGTCCTGCAGAAGCAAATGAATTCATAAATTTAAGGCAAAAAAAGAATATGATCTGAATAATTTCTTATACTAAAAATCAGATAAATTATATTTACAGGGTTTACTAGTACCTGACAAGGCAAAGCTTGAGAGGGCTAAACCACCTGTGAGAAGGCCCACAATCTCCCACGGCGGTAATCCTAGATCCAGCGATGAAAGAGTCATACAGACTGCAGGAGATAAAAATGCAATTGATTGGCAGATCTTTCGAACCTATATTTAAGAGAAATTCCGGCGACAAAGAAATTAAGAATAAACCTCAACAATTATTATTACTCAAATCAAAGAAATCAATGGACTTTGTCGTGTTTTTATGAAATTAATGTCTTTTTCCTATGATACCCTTAACTATTTATTATTGTATTGCACCTATTTCCCTCTTTGCAACAAATAGATAATGGTATTATTGACAAAACAAAAGTTAATGTTGTATTTAACTTTAAAAATGACAAATAAATAAACGGTAGTTAGAACTTAGAAAGGAATAGAGGGAGTATATACCGTAAGGAAACATATTTGATATAGTATGCAGTAAGTATTCATATAATAAGCAACAAATAATTGATTTAATGATGTTTCAATGCCTCTCGTACCGTAGTGGTTTCAACTCTTTTTGAAATCAAGCTGTCAGCCAACTGTGACGCAATACTTGTCACAAAAATTGAAGCCAGAGGCGGAAGAATAGACACCTGATACGATTAAGAACTCACAATTCTTAGTATGTATGTAGTTGGCTTATTGCACACATCCTTTCCGTCGAATTCAAACAGATACTGATAACAATTAACTGACTCCCCTAGGCATGAAGAAAAAAAACTATTAATCTTACCCATGCGGCTTCTGTTAGATTTAAGTCCAGCTCCTGACTACAAATCATATGGATTGAAGGATTAGATTCTCCATCAGGTAAAAACTGTAAATAATACTAGAGTAAAATGTTACCCTAAAATGTAAAAACAGGTAAAGTATTGAATGCTTATCGGTTACCTAAAATATGTGGGGAGCCATGAGAGACAAGTATAGTGACCCCAGCTACCACAGAAATGAGCATATATCATTGCCCATACAGCACGACTTCGGAAAAAGGCCTTCCATGGTACATCCTATATTTCACGAACAATTACAAAATAAAAAAGGATCTAATGAGTGTAAATCTTTACACACAAACATACATAGGTAACTATTCACTAAGAAGGATCTAATGAGTGTAAATCATAACATATTTTACCAATTACCTTCAAAGAGCTATTCATTTCTGTTAGAGAAGTTTGCCATGATTGTGTCGTGTTACCCTGAGCCGCTGCGGATAACCAAGGTCAAAAGTGAGAAACAACCAATTAAACCACAATCCTCAAAAAGAGTAAACCAAAGAAAAAAGCTTGGAACCAAACAGCGCGGGCAACTCATATATAAACATGCAGGCAACATTCAACGCAGAACATATAAAGAATGGCATAGTCACCGACACTTCATTTATAACTTATCAATTCCTAAACAAGCACAGATCATGAGAACTAGTCCGCTTAATGTTGAAAAAACATCTCCAAATGAGAAAGACATTATTTATTAGCATTCATTCAATAATAATCGAGTTTTTTTTTTTTGCTCAAACTAATAAAACTTTAAAAACTAAAACAAGTGCTTACATGAAAAAGATTTTGCAGCTAACTGTGTTTCACCATCTTCGAGAAATTGAAACCCCAAAAACCTTCAAAGTTTATTGCATAACACAAGTCATAATCAAATTATCGGATTCGCAACACAAGATGCTTACTGGATATTTGCCATTTCTACTTACCAAGCAACCCCCAAGAGACCGAACAAATAGAACACTGATTCCCAACCAAGATTTTGGATGATGGGAGGCGCGAAAAGAAGCCTGAAAAATATTAGTGTTGAAATGGAGATTATATAATAGAAAAAATAAAATTACAATCTCATGTGATTCTATTACATGGTAGAAATTGCATACCCCAGAACACTTCCAACACTCAAGCCACCAAATACAAATGCTACTGCCCGTGAGCGTTCTTCCAATGGTATTGACCTGCACATGGTGATCAACATTATCAATCAAAATGGTTAAGACTAATATAATCAATAGAAAAAACATATGGTATTTGTCAAATTAACAACACATCAGAGTGAGCCAAATATGTATATGGATGGTTACATGCCTGGCAATGAGATCAGTAGCAGCAGATGGCGAAACACCTTCACCTATCCCAACCTAGATATACAATGGGAGGAAAGTGATCAATATAATAGCTTTGAATAATATATCAAATGCAACCAGGGTTTATGTTAATCGGCAATAACAGTAGCAGATATAAGTAGAACAACCAGTGGAAAGATTAACGCTATAAAACCATGACATTCAGTGAGATCGGTCAAGAATTCATATGCATATATTGAAAAGAATTACTGACCAAAATCCTTGTTAATAGTAAGCCGGGTAAATATCCAGCAAGAAGAGGAACAAGAGCTGTAGCCACTGACCATACCAGTACTCCAACCTCAAGAACTTTTCTGAAACATAATGATGACATTGTAACATAATAAACCCAAAAGGAAGACTGAAATATTTAGTGCCAACTTTGAATGAGATTATTGTCAACAAAATAGGTTGTTTTGGACAACGTTTTGTTAATAATGCAGTAGGTTAAATGCTATCTTTTAGATATCTCGGCTCAACCTTGTGTCTCTCCTTGAAATATAATCAAACTTTTACCAGGTAGCTAAATGTGAGGAAAAGCGCATCAAACAAAAGTATAATTTGAATCCTTAGAGAACAAAGATGACAGATTTTAAAAAAGAAAAGATACTTGGCAATTAATGATTGAAGTTACTTGAAGATTATATAACTGGTGTTTGAAAAGGCATTCACTTTTGCAAATTTTAACTTGAACCGTGGGAAGGAACAAATATTGAACCTTAGAAAATTTGTAACAAGTTGACTTACTAAATGACCCTCTCCTCAATCCTAACATGAGTCTTAAGCTAATCCTTTCTAAAAAACAACACTTTAATAAGTCACTGAAAGCCCTCAACTTAAGCTCACACACCATAATGCCCGTGCAATTATACCTTTACTTTATCTATATAAATATTACTACATTTGGAAAGATACCCTCAGCCGGAAGCTAAAGAACAATCCTTCCAGGTACAAATATATTTAAAGGGCCGATCTCTCCCAATACGTGCTCTTCCATACATATGCACCTTAAGAGATTGAACTCACAAGTCACAACCACATGCTTAAAAAACCGAGTTATCTATCAACTATGCCATATCATGTTGGTACATTTGGAAATGTTTGTAAATGAGTCATATCCCTCTTTAAATTTCTATAGTCTAGACCTAAATTAGAGAAATCTTTGAGTACCAAAACAGAAACTTTGGACAAGGATAGAACATAGAAGAAAGAAAGTTGTAAGGTAATAACTAACCTGCCACCAAAAATCTTTGCCAACCAACCACCAGGCAATTGACTCATCGCATAACCCCAAAAGAATGAAGACTGAACCAATCCTGCTGTTGATGAGCTCCATCCAAATTGATGCGACAATGGAATTATTGCAATACTCAAATTCACCTGTTCCCAAAGAAACACAATAGAATTCTAACACTGCCCATCAAACTCACAATGATAAAAATTCAATTTTGATTTCAGGGTTTGTAATAATAATGAAAAAGAAGAATAAAGTTACCTTGTCCATGTTGCAAATAACAAAGGCAAGTGAAGTAGTGCCTATGAGTTTGTATCTTAGGGGAAGATTCTTCCATGGTGGCCAATTCCCAGACAAACCATCTACATGTTGTTGCTCCACATCATTGTCAAGGTCTGTGAGAGCATTGGACTTGGCTTTGGACACTTTATTGTGGCTCTCTTTGGTATCTTGTTGTTGAGTGTTGTTGCATGATACTAGTACTATTCTGTTTCTGTGGATGAGTTTGGAAGGTGTGAAATGGAAGCGTTGAAATGGGGTTTTGATGAAAGGGTTGTGTGAGTTTGTTCTGCGGATTGGAGTTTGAGGGGAAAAGCATGATTTGTTATGTGGTTTGGGAGTGAATATGGTCATTTTGATGAGTTTTGAGTTTTGAAATTGTGGTTGTTTTTAGAAGATTGGGCAGTGCCATAGCATGATATGGTA